GGGGACGGCTGGGCCACCGGCTCCGGGTCGCCCAGGCGGGGGTCCAGCCCAGGCCGGGAGGCGGGGGGCGCTGGAGAGCGGAAGAGGACGGAAACCTGCAGCCCCAGAAGCCCCGAGACCCGGGCGTGCCGAAGCACGGTTGGCTCGGTGCTGGAGGCTGTGGCTTTTCCTTGCACACGTGTCCCGCGCAGGCCCGCGGGGGACGTGGGGAGGAGGGGGGTCCTCGGCTGACACACCCCTGACGTCATCGCCGGCCGATGACGTTAACTTTGGGGGGCCGTGGCCCCGCCAGATGTTTATCACGTGTCGTGTTTTAATGGTGAGGGACTGGTGTCAGGCCTTGAACCCAGAGCCTCCAGCTCTCTCCCCCTCCCCTCTTGCTTACAGCCGGCGCTCTTCCACTTGACCCAGGTCTCCAGCCCCATTCTCCTCATTTTGTATTAGCATCGATTAGTTACACTTTCATTTTTCTTAATCCTCACTGCCACCCCGTAGGAATCTACGGTTCAAAAAGCTTCATTCATTCAATAGCTCTTTTTCCCAGCACTCATTCTGGAGACAGAGGCAGAAATCTTGAGCTCCGGTCAGATGGGGATCATAAAATAAAAAAAATATATACAATAAACAACCGAAGGTCCACACATTCAGGAGATGGAGATGGAGAGGATCTCGGTTCCAGGCCAGCCCTGGGAAAAAGGCTGCTGGACTCCATCTCACTATGCTGGGCCTGCTCAGGCCCCAGTCATCTGAGCTACAGGGAATAGAGGAAGAGGAAGATCCTGGCCCGGTTTGCATAAATGGCTCGGGTGTGGCTCCAGTGGGAGAGCAACTGCCTAACAAGTGTAAGGATATGAGTTCAATTCCCAGTGCCATGCAAATACAAAACAAATTATAAATATCTTTTAGAAATCTGTTAGATGCCAGAGGCATCTCTTCTAAACAAAATAAGAAGTTCCTGAGTTGGTTTTTTTCTTAATGAATACAAAATTTGTGTTTTGAGAGATAAGCTGGGCACCGTGGATCCTATGTAAAAACCTCAGCATTTAAAGATAAAGAGTTGGGGGCAGCCTAGGCTACATAGTGAGTTCTAGGTCAGCCAGAGCTGGTAAGACAGACTATCTCAAAAGAGAGAGAGAGAGAGTTCTGAAGATTAATTGCACAGAAATGGGAATGCAACAACACTACTATGTACTTATAAAGTGGTTAGGACAATAAAAGTGTATTTTTTATTTTTGTGGTACTAAGGAATCAAACCCAGGGTCTCTTGTATGCTAGGCAAGCACTTTACTGCTAAGCCACACTCCCAGCCAATTTTACCAAATTTAATTTTACCAAATTAAAAATTATGAAGCAAACCAGACACTGGTGACTCATGCCTGTAAATGTGTTTTATCAAATTAAAAATTTTAAAGCAAAGCCAACCCAGGAAGAAAAGTCTGTGAGACTCTTATCTCCAATTAATCAGCAAAAAGACAGAAGCAGAGCTGTTGCTCAAGTGATGAGTGGCGGCCTTGATCAAAAGAGCCAAGTGAAGGAGCACAAGGCCCTGAGTTCAAGCCCCGGAACCAGCACAAAAGCTTTCAAAGCACAGTCCCTGCTCTGACAAAGAATAGTAGATGTAATCCCTTAAAGTCACTCAGCTAGGAAGGGCACACACACACACACACACACACACACCATTCCATGGTACACTCCCTCTTCCCTCGCTTTCCCTGCTGGCAGAGCAAATAATACCAGTGTCATCTTCAAAAACAAGTGGTGCCAGTGGCTCATGCCTATAATCCTGGCTACTCAGGAGGCTGAGATCTGAGGATCTCAGTTCAAAGCCAACCCAGGCAGAAAAGTCCTCATGGACTCTCATCTCCAATTAACCACTCAAAACTGCAAGTGGCTCTGTGGCTCAAGGTGATAGAGTGCTAGCCTAGAGCAAAAGAGCTCAGGGACAGCACCTAGATCCTGAGTTCAAGTCCAATAAAACCAACAACAACAAAAAAAAAAGCAATGGAGGGAAGGACTTTGGTGCCCACCATGTGCTCCTGGGCCCCAAGTCCATGTGGCCCATGGCTGATTGCTAACTGTTCCCATCCCAGATCCGGAAGGAAGCTCCTGCACCATGAATCCAGCCATCGGCATCGCTCTCCTACTGGCAGGTACTGGGCAAGGGGCGGGGCAGAGCAGCCTCTTCCTCACAGCCTCAGAAGTGTGGGGACCAAGACAGTGGGCTGTTTCTCATCCCAAAGTCAGCTCTGGCCTAGCTGGCCGTCCTGCCTGGGGAGGACTTGAGGCACAATTTACTGAGCCCCGCACAAGTTCCTGTGCAAAGGAACCTGAAATGTCCATATGGGAGCCGAGAACCCCTCCCCACCCCCTTTCCTCTCCTGTCCCAGGGCCCCAGCAGACTAAGGAAGGAGGCTGGGGTCTGCAGGGAGCCGTTGAGCCCTCCCTCCGGACCCTGGGGTGGGAAGAGATACTCATACAGCCGTCAGACCCCATGCGAGGCCTGTGTCCACTCTTCTGGGCGGGGGGGGGGGGGGACCCTGTTCCAAAGGCTCTCCCCCAATGCGGAAGAGGCACCGCTGGTGCCAGTGTTACAGGCATCTCAAGGGCAGAAGGTGACGAGCCTGACGGCCTGCCTGGTGGACCAGAGCCTTCGCCTGGACTGCCGCCATGATAACACCACCAGCTTGCCCATCCAGTACGAGTTCAGCCTGACCCGTGAGAAGAAGAAGCACGTGTTGTATGGCACGGTGGGCGTGCCTGAGCACATGTACCGCTCCCGGACCAACTTCACCACCAGGCACAACATCAAGGTCCTCTACCTTGCCAACTTCACCACCAAGGACGAGGGCACCTACACGTGCGAGCTCCGCCTTTCCGGCCAGCCGCCCACCATCTCCAATCAGAACGTCTCTGTGCTCAGGGGTGAGATCTGTCTCCAGCAAGGTCACCCGGGCCAGGAGAGACAGGGGCAGGGTGGTGGGGAGCAGTCTGGGTGCACAGCCAGCGGTTCCCTTAGCTGGGCCAGAGAAGAAAGGCCCATATTTCTCTCTGTTCCCTGGACAGCTGTCTGGTCCCCTGGGGTGCCACTGCCCAGCGTTTGCGTGGAGGAAAGGCCTGTCAGGCCGAGCTATCACACCCTGATTAGAAGCATGTCTCTGTCCTTTTCTCCAGCCGAAAAACAGGGATGTGAGCTCCACCCTTGCTTAGCTTTCTGAGGATGACGTTTAGTACAGTTTTTGTAAGCCGCATGGGCCAAGGCTCAGGAACATGTAAAATGAGAATGAGGGTTGGAGGTTGGTCCCAGCCTGAGTTTCCATCCCTCCCTCCCTCCCCCTTATTCTCTCTTCACAGACAAGCTGGTCAAGTGTGAGGGCATAAACCTGCTGGCTCAGAACACCTCATGGCTGCTGCTCCTCCTGCTCTCGCTTTCCCTCCTCCAAGCCACGGATTTCATTTCCCTTTGACTGGTTGGGCTGATGGAGGATACAGGAAGCCTCCAGGCCCTGTGCAGAGACCCTGCTTCTCTGAGTTGGCTGACCCCCTCCCCTCAGTCCCTCACACAACTTGGGGAGAAGCGGGGACCCCACCCCTTATGAGAAATCTCAGTGCTGCATGCCACCGTCTTCCCTGCCACGCCGCCACTTCCCTCTCCACACACCACTGGCTGTGTTTTTGTACTCTTTCTTCCAGAGCTGCTTCTGTCTGGTTTATTTAGAGTTTCTCCTTCCTTTCCGTTGGGAGTTGATGACCAGGGAAGCCAGGGTTGGGGACCTAATGGCAGTGAGGTCACATGGCACACAGGAGATGGCAGTGAGTCACGTGACGCACAGGAGAGGGCAGTGGGGGGAGGGGAGGGGTTATCCTGGCCCACCAGGGTGAGGGAGAGTCCCCAGGGATGAGGGGGGGACCGGGGTGTGAGTGGGCCTAGCACATGCCCAAGATAGGAAGCATGCCTTGAGACCCCGAGGCGAAGGGATCACCAAGCGCTTGTGGCCTGTCACCAGAGGGTAAGGACAGAGTCCCCAAGAGACACAGACCAAAAAATAAAACCAAAAAAACCCTTCTTGCCACTGCACAAGTCCGTGGGGAGCTTGGGGCAGCCCAGAGGCGGTGAGGCTGCAGCTAATGGAGGCTGGGGGAGGGGAAGGCCGTCCTGCTCACCCATGCTAAACATCAGCCCCCCTCGCTGAGGATGGGGCAGGGGACCAGCCCCCGCCCCGGCAGTCCCAAGCTTCAGAACTCTGTAAGTGGGGGAGTCCCATAGCTATACAGCTGTACCCCGGTTTCTAAGGGAGGCTCTTCCTTCCCCTGCCCTGTAATGCCTGCACTCTGGCTGGGCCTGAGTCCTACACAGCTCTGCCCCGCAGCCTGCCTCTGGGGGCTCTGAGGGACCCCAGGGCCATGCACCCCTCTGGAGATTGCTTTTCCAAACCCTTCCTTTCCTCTCCCCCCCCCCCGCAGCGGCTCTGCCTGCCCTTTGCCCACGTGTGCTGCCCCACAGCTTCTAGCATCTCATTGAGGAAAAAGAAAACCACACAATAAAGCCAGGCCTCTGGAGTCTGTCTCTGCGTGTGCCTCTCTGTTCTGCTCCTCTGAAATCCCCAGCCCTTCCTCTCCCGGAGCCTTCACCCCTCCCGTGGCACGCTGGGCTCTGCAGATGGCTCACATGACTGGTGCCCAGATGCGTGAGTGTGACCACTGCTGACTCACTCCTCCTGGCCATCCAGGCCCCGCTCATCACACGTGCTGAGGCCCGCCTTGGCCTCTCGGCCCTGGTGGTTCTAACACGACCACTTACAACTGGGAAGACACGTCCTTCCGGTAGCATTGGCCACAGGACCAAGGCAACAGGACAAGAATCCATGCACCCTTCCATCCCAAAGCGGTGGCCCAAGAAAGGGCTGGGACACATACCGTCCCCTCGGAAGTGGTAGGGGAACACTGGCCCCATCCCTGGCTCTCCTCGCTGCTCAGCAAGGCGTGGAGGGTCACTGTGAGGTTGGCTAGATGAGGATCCCAGGGTGGGAATGGGTGAGCTGGTAAACAGCCTAAGCTAGTGGCCTGCAGCCTGGGAAGGTGGGGGAAGAGGCTGGCGCATGCATTCAGCTCTGGGCAGCTGAGTAATTTCTCTCTGCTCATTTTTCTAGACTAATGCCACTTGCTCCCTTCTCTTCCTGCCACCGCCTGACCTCTGCCTCACACTGGCCCCTGTGGTGGCCAGGCCCAAAGAGGCCAGGAGAAGTCCGCCAGAAGCACTGCCCAACACAGAGCAGGAGGCTGACAGCCATCCACTGCACTGGTGTGGCCAGGCTGGGACGCTCAAGGAGAAGGTTGGGATCCTTGCTGGGCCCCAAGGCTGAGGAGCCCCGCCCTTGAGGCTGTAAGAAGTCAAGTTCCAGCGTCTTTCTGGAAGAAACTAGGAAGCCAGGTGGGAGTCTGGCACCTCTGCAATACCGCCCGTGTGTCCAGTGTCTTACCAGACAGATGGGCAGGGTAGACAGGCCGAGACAGTTCAGACAGCATTGAAGACAGGCTGAACACTGCTCCCACCATCGGAGACCACCTTCCATGGTGATCTTCCACGGCCTTCCGTGGTGTGGGCAGCTGCCACCCGCCAGCAGCCGCAGCCCAGCTCATCAGAAGACTGTGCCCTTCTGGTAGAGGGCCTCTTGGGGCCCCCTACCACCTGCACAGGTATGGCTCACCCTCTCTGGGCCTCTGTGTCCTCACTACAGGCCCTTTAACCTACACTTAACACTAATTAAATGGAAAGGAAGGAAAACGACAGTTCCTGGGTTGCACCAGCCACATTTCAGGATGCACTGGGCAGAGCAGCACTGTGGACTAGACCACGGACATGAACTGTCTGAACGAACACACTTGATGTGTCTGAATTTGGGAAGGGGAGGCAGAACACACAAGTTCTGGAAACCCCTCAGTCCATCCACCCAGGTGAGGGTAACTTCAGCCCAGGAATGCTTTGCGCTCTGACACCTCCAAGACCAGGTATGGTGTCCTGCTGCCCAGAGAAGGTGAGGCTTTTCTTCATGGCTAGTCAAAGGCCTGTCATCCATCTGATTCTTTTTTTTCTTTCTTTTTTTCTTGCCAGTCCTAGGGCTTGAACTCAGAGTCTGGGCACTATCCCTGAGCAGCATTTTTTTTTCTTACAGCTAGCACTCTACTACAGTGCTACTTTCGACTTTTTTCTGGTGGTTAATTGGAGGTCAGAGTCTCATGGATGTTTCTGCCTGGGCTGGCTTTGAACCACAGTCCTCAGGTCTCAGCGTCCTGAGTAACTAGGATTATGAGCATGAGCCACTCGCACCCAGCTACCCCTCTTCTCCATTTCCTTCTTCTACTTCCTTCAGAAGAACACAGATACCCCATCCACAGGGCTGGGTATTGCCTTTCACCTAGCAAACCACCCACATGCCCAGAGCACCCGTATCTCAGCATCTCCCAAGAGCTATGTGCTGGCCGTCTAGGCAGGGTCCCAGTAGGCTGGAAGGAAAGGGATCACAGACCCAGTTCTTTCTCACCTTCGGTCTCTGGGTGTGGCACAGCTTCCCACTGATGTCCTTCCCCTTCTCCTCTTTCCTCATCTCTACCTAAGCATCTGCTAGGTTGAGATTCCTGGGTGACACATAAAAAGAATGAAAGAACACAGAACTTCCATGCCCCCTACAGGAACGGAGGAGAAAAAGACAGGAGGTCAAAACATTGCTTATAATTAACAAGTGTCCATTGGATTTAGCAGCTAGGGAATCAATCACAGCTGTGGAAGAGAAGTTTCCTGAAGTCTGAGAGACAGAAGACATGTAGATGTTGCATGGACTGGGAAGGAGGAAAATAGAGCACATAATTCTGCCAACAGAACCGTGAAGAAGAGAGAGATGGACCTTCACTTAAAGACTGCCATGGTGACAATATGGTGGTACATACCTATAATCACTCAGAAAGCTCAGGTAAGAGATTGAAGAGTTTGAAACCATGCTGTACTACATAGCAAGATGGTGTGGGCTGGGAAGGTGGCTCAGTGGTAGAGCACTTGCCTTGCATGCATGAGGCCCTGGGTTCGATTCCTCAGCACCACATAAGCAAAAAATAAAAAAATAGATAGATAGTCCAGTGCCCGGACCACACAATAAGATGGTGTCTCAAAAAAAAAAAAAGCCTAGCACTAGTGACTCATAGCTATAATCCTGGTTATTCAGGAGGCTGAGACCTGTGAATCTAGCCCAAGCAGAAAAATCCATGCGACTGAGAGCACTCTGAGCATCCTGAGTTCAAGCCCAGTACCAGAACCAGAAATAAATATGGTTGTCTCAGCCATTTCCATCCCTCTCCTCCTGTTCTTTCATGAACTCATCCACAATCAGGCTTTCACCCCAGTCTACCCCAAGTAGAGATCGAGGTCCCCAACCTTTGAAATCAATTTTCAAATTCATGTCCCTTGACCTCTCCTCCTTGGTGAACTCCCTCCCACCAGCATCCAGCACACAGCACCTCCTGGGACTCTTCCCCACTACACTGGCCATTCCTCAGTTTCCCAGATGGTGCCAGTCCAAGCCACTTCATCTTGGAAAGCTCTCTGATCGAGGCCTCACCCATCCCTCTGTCTATACTTGCTCCCTTGGCAATCTCTTATAGTTTTAAATAGCATCCATATGCTGATGATTCAATTTTGTATCTCAGCCCAGACTTGAACATCAACTGCTTTCTTGGTATCTAATTAAGTGCCTAACAGACATCTCAAATTTATGATGTATTCAACCAGGCTCCTGATCTACCACCACCACTACCACCACCAAAACTCACTTCTTCCATGGCTTGCCTCTCCTCAGCTAAGGTTCAGGAAGAAACTTCCTCCTTTCCTCTCATACAATGATGAATAAGAAAACCCTGCGACTCTTGATTCAAAACACATACAAAATACAATCCCTTCCCCACTTTTTTTTTTGCAATATTAGGGATTAAACCCAGGGCCTGTCACACGCTAGACAAGCACTCTACTACTGAACTGCATCCTCTTGCTTTTAGAACCCAACCACATCTGATTGCCTCTCCTGGTATCCCAATAACCCAAGGCCACCGCCGTTTTTCCCCAGATAAGTGTCAGTGGCCTCTGGCTCTGTTCAGATCTGTTCTCCACAAAGTACCTAAAAGGATCTGGTTAGAAACAAACATCAGGTCCACATCCCACTCAGCTCAAAACCTTCCAAGCCAGAGTAAAAGCCAGTGTCAAGAGAATGACTTCAGGGCCCTACAAACACATCCCTCACTTATCTCTTTTTTTTTTTTTTTTGAGTCCAGTCATGGGGCCTGAACTCTGGGCCTGGGCGCTGTCCCTCAGCTCTTCAGATCAAAGCTAGCCCTCTACCACCTGAGCCACAGCGCCACTTCCGGCTTTTTTCTTTTTGCTTATGTGGTGCTGAGGAATCGAACCCAGGGCCTCAGGCATGCAAGGCAAACACTTTACCATTGAGCCACCTTCCCAGCCCCCTCACTTATCTCTTATTCTCTCCCTGCCCCACCCCTTTGCTTATCCCAGATCAACTCCATACAGTGTGTGAGACTGGCCCAAGGTACAGAGAGACTAAAGAAAAGCCAGCAGATATGGAGGTGTACATTGTACAATTTATTAGGGGACTTACTGACAGAAGCAGCAAAGAGACCAGGTAGAGCCCAGCAATTTAAGTCCAGAAGGGAGATATATTTATGGATTAAGACAGCAATGACTTCATTCTGGCTGGAATAACCCTGGTTTATCTTTTCATCATACTCTTTGTAGAGTTAACATATGCTAATAAATGTTTTAAAAGAAAGAAATAATATCAAAGAGTCAAGTGTCTCCCTGAAGCCAGGGTCTGATTATAAAGCTCTACAAATGACTCTAATAGTTTTATTCTATTTATGGTTTGCTGAGAAACTGTGCAAGAAAAATCAGCTAGAGTGACTCAGGGGGCATATGTGGTGGTTACAACTCAAGATGGCATGCAGTGGGAATGTGGCTTAGTGGTAAAGTGCTTTCCTGGCATGCATGAAGCCCTGGGTTTAATTCCTCGGTACCACATAAACAGAAAAAAACAGAAAGTGGTACTGTGGCTCACGTGGTAGAGTGCTAGCCTTGAGCAAAAGAAGCTCAGGGACAGACCCTGAGTTCAAGCCCCAGGACTGGCAAATAAAACATAAAATAATACAAAGATGGCTGCAGTGGCCAGGCACCAGTGGCTCACACCTATAATCCAGCCCTCAGGAGGCTGAGATCTAAGCATCTCAGTTCAAAGCCAGCCCAGGCAGAAAACTCCCTGTGAGACTCTTGTCTCCAATTAACCACTCAAAAAAAAAATCAGGTTGTGGAGGGAAAGGATAGTGGGAGAACAATAAAGGAAGGGGTAACAATGCTCAACAAGAAATGTACTCATTACCTTACTCATGTAACTGTAACCCCTCTGTACAGCATCTTTACAATAAAATAAAATTAAAAAACATAGAAAAAATCAGGAAGTAGTGCTGTGGCTCAAGTGGTAGAGCACTAGCCT